GAGAGAAGAGAGTTACTGTTGGTGGGAAAACAGAAAGCTAAATGTCTCAAATTGGAGATTTTGTGCGAGAAAACCAGGCTTCGGTAAGGAGCTTCGACAGAACGGCTATTCGACCATTCCCGTCAGCTTAAGGGGTGATAGCGAGATGATATATTCACGTGAGGTTAACTTCCAAAATTTCGTAAAGAAACGTTAATTTCCAACCAGTCTAAAGTCTCGTTCAGACTGTTAGTTATGGTTATTTAGGGCTATGTTTATTTACCTAATAATGAGTTTAGGCTTACCGAAGGCGTATTGGTAGTTTGTATATTACCCTTCAGATAGACTCTTCCAATAGTTCAATGCTTCACATACATTTTCGTTGCACCCGTTATTAAGAGTTATGGCATTTAAATGAACATAAAATATCTCTTTTTTGAAAATGACAGTATTCCAGGCGGTAAGATTTATAGATTGTCTGACACTGTTATGTACTTACTTTACATTAAGAAATTTCAAGGTAATTCGACAGTTGCGTTCTGGAGATATTGCAAATCCTATAAACTGCCTTTAAACCAGGCTACATTTTCGTGTATAAAGTTCAAATCTCTTTTTGGAAAAGAAAATTAAGTTAAATGTATGGCGGTGTTACGCAATTTGGTGTTGCAGCTAAAATTAATAACCTGTATATATTTATATATAATGGCAAGCAATTGTACAAAATTTCTTCCCAGCGCGGGATACCAGCTGAATCGCCTTACTGTTGGGCAAACAGATTGCGTTGATTCTCTCCTGATATGTTGGCAAACTTGTCTCATAATTTTACCCAGCGTTTGTTGAAGTTGTTATTTGTACGGTTCAACCTGGTAACCCAGGTTGGGCAAAGGCGTTTTTACAATGTGGGAAGGGCGCCGGGTTGCCGGGGAGGTCAGAAAGGTTTGACAACGTCCTTCTTGCCATTGCACTGAACCTTACGAAAAATATTACAAGCTCATCAAAGTGTCACAGGTTACATCTTCAGTCTTCCATCTTCCTCACCTTTCGCAGAGCATGTTTGTCATCTTTGTGAGACTCTTTGTGTTGTCCTCTTTGCTGGGTCAATACGATACACCAACTTTGAAAGAGCATCTTATGTGTTTATGTGTCTGTTCATTTTAGGTTTTTTAATCTTTGCTTGTTTGATCGTTTGAATAAATCAACTACTTCAGAGCAAAATAAGGCAAGTGCCTCTAAGTTGCTTGCCTTGATTACCATCTTAAATGGGCCTTTTATATCTTCCTTTTTTTACTGGCAAACCTCCCCCGGAAACAACAGCAGGACCGACCTCATATAATATTGATTTTTTTAAGGGCGGGTCTTAATTTCAAAAGGGAAGTTTTCATGTAGGCCCCTATGACTTGCCGATTTAAAACGAAAGCAAAATACTGAATCCAAAGATGAGTAACAACCAGAGTGGTTCTTTAAAGAAAACTCTCGCAAGCGAATCAAAAGAAAAATTAAATAAAACGAAAACTGTAATTGTTTACATAGGACCTTCGTTACAAGTCTTACTAAATATGGACACCGATATCTGCCCCCCGTAATGTATATATGTGTTTGTTTCGGTATATATTTAGGCAAAGCGCTTTCCTGAAGCAAGTTTGATTAAATATTTCATCCAAGATTTCAGATTATTTTCCCATTCATTTTTAGTGAGAACATAGATTGGTAATATGGCTTTTCAAGTCACCTCTGTCTTCTGTCTGCTTAATGCTTTGATAAGTTTGGCAAATTCCCTAACGATTTGGCCGACCTCCAACGCAGTGATTCTGAGAAAAGTTGAGAAGTTGGAGTTGGCATGTCATGTCAGATTTGAGTCAGAGGAAAGCGCACAAGCGGCCCAATGGTACAGAAAGCCGAATCTGGACAAGATTTATGGTGAAATTGATGTTTCAAGATGCTATGACACAGTGAATTCGCCTTGTTCTGTCAGGAATACCGTGGACATTAGAGGGACAGTACGATTTCAGAGACTGCGTAACGAGGCTAAAATGACACTGAAAATTACCGACAGCACTTTAGTAGATAATACAGAATTTGTTTGCGCAATATTGCTAAGAGTGCGTGGAATCGAGTTTCACCGTAGTGACACCGTATCCATGACAGTCAACTATCTCCCCGATAAAACCTACCCAACTTGTAACGCAAAGCTTTCTGAAGCCACAAGGCAACACTCTGCATTGACGTGCATCTCGGACAAAGGTCAGCCAGTGGTCACTCTGGAGTGGACAGCCATGATCAGTTCAACCAGGGTGTCCTCTCCAACGCCACAGTCGTCGTTGGGAATCAAGTCGAGAACACTCTGCATCTCAACACACTGGAAAGTTCGTATCAATGCACTGTACACACACACAAAACTCTACGTGGCTGCACATAGAAAAATGATGTCGCAGGAAGTACGAGTTACGTGTACTTCCCAGAACTTGATTAGTTGGATATTTAAAATGTACGTATTTTTTGTGTTCACAAATTTAATTTGTTAATTTGAGGTTACGTATATGTTGCGTGATCGGTCTGAGGTGCAAAACGACGTACACGACCTCACTAAAGGTTTCATTGGTGTCCGTGGGAGAGGATGTTAAACTGGCATTGGATGAAATTTCAGGCTATTCATTGGGAGAAAGACAGTAATAGGTGGAAACGCTTGCGGTAGCACCACGCGAAGGAATATATAAACTGGGAAGGAATATAAGTAAACTGGCATTGTTAGAAAATTATACCAGCCAACATCTACTCAGGTCATTTGCAAGAGTATGAGCCGTATGCACGACTGTCGACCGTGCAATGAACAGTCACGCTGCGCGCTAGCTACGTGTTTACATGTAGCACATGAGCCTCGTACATTAAGCAGGCAATCACAACTGTTCAGGCTGTGGAATTATACCGTGAACTTGAAAGTGCTGCACCGGTGATTTAAAACACAAGTCATTAAATGTGAGGAAAGTTCTGAAAATGTGGCAGTGTTCCTCAAATGACCACTGCCGCTTGGGCCATTGATTTTGGAGAATGCAGTGGCTCAATGAATTTTTTAGTGGCCCCGTGCCAGCAGAGCATCGTTAAGATTGAGTGCGCATGAGGCGTGAGTGTCAAGGGCTGACACGACAGTGGATCTTGCTACAGTACGGTCCGTTGAGTTCGTAATGAGCGAGGAGTTGACACTCCAGACCTAAACAGGGGTATTCAATCGCTCTTTTTGTTGGTAACTGCTGCGCTAATTGCTACAGTACGGTCCGTTGAGTTCGTAATGAGCGAGGAGTTGACACTCCAGACCTAAACAGGGGTATTCAATCGCTCTTTTTGTTGGTAACTGCTGCGCTAATTCCTGGCTGTCTATCACACCAATCTTTTATTACGCTTCGACAGTTAATCCGCTGCTTTCACACCTTCCACGGTGGGAAGCCGGATCGGTGTACCGTTATGAATAACAATAGGACCATCAGCTACCAAGATATGACGTGAAAAGGCCGTGAAACTGCTGTGAGCTAATCCGCTCCCAAGCTGATTTTTCACGGTGATTTAATGGTAAAACTGCATTTTCACGGTGTTGCTATGCCTTTTGGAGCAAAATACATTTAGAATACAGAAGAGAAGCGACAAAAGACCCCCTAGCCCTCAATAAACCTTTAACGGTAGTGAGAATAAATTGGGTACATCTGTTTAGAAAGATGTCTGGTACAAAAGATTATGTAAATTATCACCAGCGTTCAATAGGACGCCGCATTCCATGTGCTGTCTCTGTGCAGTGTATGGCATGCTCCGATGTGCATAATAATCCATGACAATGTGATGTATGTCGGTGTGACATTCTTGGAGTAAACAACAGACAATGGGCACTTCATACTTAAGATTTTTTATAAAAAAAATTCTACTTTCCCCATCCACCAACCAAAAAGGAAAAGAAACTTATACAGCAAAATGGCACCTTACGAAGCTTGCTGGTAATATCTTATAATAGCGTCTGAATTACGCAACAGAATTAGAGGCAAGAGGTGCGATCGCAGGCACAAAAGGGAAGGGAGGTCGAGCTGGTTCGCACTGAGTGATGCGTTACCGACGATGAGCCTAGCTTGGTAGCTTGGCACATGTATCATGGTCACACCATACGACAAGTCCAGGTTTCAAATGTTAGCACCGTGCTGAAAAAGTCTCGTATAGGCCTATTAATGGCGGTCAATAGTTGGATCTGGTACCACACGAGGTACTTGCCCAGAGAGTGGCAATTTGTTCCACTTTGTTGTTATTTCATATCAAGTCAAACATACCAGTTGATGTTTAGCACACAAACATATTCAAGGAAAATGATTTTACGCATCTCCGTGAAGTTGTCGTCAAAGTTTGCGAGTTTTGTTTCCTGATTTATGTTTGAATTCGGCCCGTTGTATATTTATCAATAGATCCAATAAACTTTGACATTTAGCCAGGTTTTTTGGTTTCACCTATCAGTTAACATTCGTTTGCCCAGTAACCTGATGAACAGGAAATTCAAGACTTTAAGACTTGGAAAACAATAACGGGGAAAAATACGGACGGAGTGGAAAATGTGACAGATCCGGAAACTATTGGGCTGGGGAAACGACACTGCCAACCCGATGCGGGAATGCGTCAGGGAAGTAGTACATGCACCACTGAAAATTCACGCCTTAACTTTTTTCCTTTTTTTAATATTCTTTCTCCATGAAGCACATTTATGGTGGTCAAGACGCCCGAGAAGAAGTGTCGTATCACGAGTGAAAGAACAAACTCCGAAATGACCGACAGGATATCAAATTCCGACTGTCCTTCCACGGAGATGGGTTCGACATGACAGAGCAACTCTCATTCTTACTATTTCCCTTAAATGTGTTGGCGAGAAATGAGACTGTTCTTTTCTCAATGTCATTTGTGCAATGTGCACTCCAAAGAGCAACCTTGCCCGATAATGTTTCCAACGTCTCACTACAGCACTTTCAACACGAGTATCACCAAACTATTCACAAACGATATTCAACACTGGAGGTTTTGTTCAAAATTTCCTTAGTTCCAACTGTAATATCATAAACCTTGAAAAAATAGTTTCAGTGTCTATTCTGAATACATCTAAATAATGTTGTTGCTATATGTTTGATGAACAGAGATGTCTAAAATTTATGCTCTATAGCTTAGAATTAAAGCCAAAGTTTTCAAGGAAACATTTGAGAAAAATGTTCTCAGTAAAGAACCACAGCAATTATTTACAACGAGTATATTGTAACTAATAAAATGTATTTCTTTGTAATCCTAGATACTTTCGTAGTTTTATGAATGGGAAAAGGGTACGAAAAAATCTCACCCAACTTCCAGCAGCTAAGTCAAATGGCCGAAAATAGAATTTGACCTTTGACCTTGCTATATCAGACCCTTACTCATGTCCTAGTGCATCATCCGGCGAAGAAACGTACAAGATGTTGTCCACGAAGTCTGTGGTGCACTCTCCGTTTTCGCTACTACCGTCAAGCCGGTGCTCCAACCCGTCCACCGTATGAAAGTTTACTGCTTCGGAAGAGGCCTCTCCTACGGCATGCGGGTTTTCCTGGCACGATCTTTTCATATCTGTAAAAGGGAAGGAGGAATGTATGTCAATAGTGAGTTAACTGTCGGGAGAGGATGCTTTACACGCCCCTGGATGCCTTTGCCCCTTGTTCCCTTGGCTTAAAATTCTATATTAAAAATATAGCTTTGTGCTACATAAAGTCATGGTCAAAGCTTTTCAGTGCGCCCTTCACAATACCGGGTCACTGTCTAACCCCAAAATGGCACCCTAGTGATGCTGCTATTCGTTAACTACGGAATCATTGCTTTGGGTTCAGGATTAAAACCTATAACTTGTGTGGCAAGTCAAAAAGATGGAGCAACACAACAGTTATTCCAGGTGCATCTTGATATGTGCCAAACCATTCGATTTTGATAAGTCTCTCAAATCTTTCATTCTTGGATGCAGACACCAGCATGCAGGCTCTTGGTCGCCAACATTGGAGTTCTGTCATGTAAGTTATAAAACAGTCCAGAGTCCAGAGCTACAGCTGTCAGGACCTAAAGAGTTAACTCGTCAAACCGACATTTCCCGACAGATATATTCACCGTTTGGGTTTCTTCTGGCATCATGTGATGAGGCAGCCTTCTTCTGGACAGCAGCATACACTGGCTTGTCAGGATCAAGGACTGCATACGATGGTAACAGTTTGGACGCGGTGGCAGAACTGGATGTGGCAGATAGCGGTAGACCTGTCGGTCTGAAGTCCCGAATTTGGCTGGCGTCTCTGTCTTCCCCTCCACCATTCGTAGACGGGCCGTCGATCGTGTGGTAGATGTGGCCTCCAGCATCGTCGCCTGCCAAGGCAGGAATGGACAAATGAAGGGTCGTCTTTCCCTGTTCCGAACTCCTTGATTTCCTCCTTTTCGACACCAGGCATACAATGATGGCAAGAAGAATGATGATAACACTGACGACACCTGCCGACACTACAATTATCAGAGTAGAGGATAAACGAGACTTTGTGTCTGGTTTGTTTGAGCTCGTGGGATAAACAGTCGGCCTAAGTGCATCCGTGCTGATAGGCTGGCGGTCCTGGATTGTTGCCGATGAAGAATCGATGGTCGATGCTAATACCGGTCCAATATCCACGGAGCACTGCCTTTCCATATTGGGAAACGCCCCGCTCGTCAAGTGACAAGTGAAGCTCTTGTAGGTCCACGACGAGTTAAGATGCAACTTACTTACAACTTGCCCACCAGCAGTTTCCACCCTCCCTTCGAGGGGAATGTCTGGTGCATCAACCGACGTCGTCCACTGAAGGGAAATATTCGGTCGAGCTGTCTCAGACAAGCACGTAAGAATTGACGGGGTTGGATATGTTAGATACGATGACACGAAACAGACAGGATAAGATGTATTTGGGAAGAAGTTGACAGTCACCTGTATGTTTGCCTCATTTCTGCTTCCATTTACATGAAATACACACTGGAAATCCGTGCTGTCTTCGAGTTGACTTTCACTAATTGTGAGTGTCAACCAAGCGTTGTTACTTGTGCCTCTTTCATATCGCACGATGCCACGGTTGTCAGTCGTGTTCACAGCCATACATGACAGGTTTGCAGTAAGCAACACGCAGCCTCCCGAAACATCAATCTCACCGTAGACCGCTGGAGTCCTACTTGCGTCTTTTTGCATTCGTTCCCACCTAACCGTCCTCACATCAACAGTCTGAAATGTTACATTACATGACAACAGCAGTGGCTCTCCTCTCCGAACGGTCACACTGCCTGGAGCTGTGATTCTCGCTGAGTTTCTCGCAGCCTCTGCTGTGAAGAGCGCTGTTGTGACGAGCAAAAGATACACCAAATTTGTTCTGGCCATTATCCTTCCCCACAGTTCCAGGGAAAACGCTAACTTGTCGATTCCACTTCCTTCATTACGTAGTCCGTGTCTTTCAACTGTCACGACAACGTAGGTAACACACTTCTTGCATACGGAAACATAACCCTTAAGATTATTGCACGTGAAAGTGCAGCTCAACTTGCCCTGTAAACGTAAGCCGAAGGTTCGGTACGGCTACGGGGATTTCCCCTATATGCATTTTTTTCCTGTTAAAATTGCCTTCATGCATATGGGAGGCTGAAACAGAAAGAAGGTATAATCCTTACTTCTGAAAGTAGGCCAGCCATGAACCAAGTTGACTCATTTTTCCGTAGCGCATGCGCAAAATGAAGCAAGTCCGAGGTCAATCGGGAACACTGAGCATTAACGCCTGTGAAATTTGCCCAATCAGCGCGACTGTGAACGCGAGTTCTGTTCTCAGATGACCTTGCCCTGTTAAAATATCGAAATGACTCATGTGGAACGTTTGTACAGGGGA